AAGACTCAATTTGAGCCAATAGTCGCTCCTTTTCAACCTCCAATGCGGTGACCCGATCTCCTAGGGTCGAAGCTTCATGGTCGATCTCGCCAATATGTTCCTCAAGCCTCACCTCCATCAGTATGGACGTCGCTCTCTCCGACTCCTGCTTGGACTGGAGGACGCGGATAGTGTTCTCCAGGGCCGCAGACCAGGCGCTCTTGATACTCTCCAACCCGGCAACCTTTCTCTCCAACTCGGTCAACTTTCTCATCCACTCCACACTCATCACCTCGACCTTGATGAGGTTCTGATCCATTTCAGCATGTATTGACCTCAGTCTCCCCTGCAAATAGTCACACTCTGTAGCTACCCCCTTACCCAACTCAAGCTCTTCGTCCTTCTCGCAAAGTTGCTCCTCGAGCATACTGTTTCTGCGAACGGCCTCCATCAACTGCTGATCTCTCTTCTCTAATTCCTCACCAAGGGATCGAGCACCGGGATTCTCCCTCAGCCGCCGTGTATCTCACCGCACTTGTCGTGATAGCGTCGATACTTCTCTAGCATCTTTAAGAAAATCTTGGCCCAAATGTCGGCCCTGCGCATACTCTCCACATCCACCATGTACGTCTGAAAAATGAAAATATGGGTTAAAGACATATCAACAAGAAAAACAAGAGAAGTATAAAAGAAAAAGTGTAACGTACTCTCAAGCCCATAGCGGCCAACTCATTCATCAAATCGATATTAGGAACGCTCCGGAAAGCCTCGTTCTCAGCAGTGAAGCACAAAATATCAAACTGCGGCACCAAATTCTCTGTGTCCCCCAGGATTAACATCTGAAGATATCACAAGAACACATACTTGGCCTCTCACACAAACTACCGAGTGGGTAATACCCTCCTCAAACATCCTAACATCATCAGGATCAAGGTCCGACTCGGATTCATAGTCGTCGACCACCACGCCTTTTCCTCTGTCAGCAGCTGAGGAGGAAGCACGACCAGTTACGGAGGATGAGGGTACATCTGAAACCACAATGGCAGCCTCAGAAATTTAGCCCCCTGCTATAGCAGGCTGCTAATCAACAACAACAGCAGGAATCTCAGTCGGCGGAGCAGATACAATGATTGGCTCCATCTCTACGGGCGAAGTGGTATCAATCCCTACCCTAGATCCTATCAAGGGAGAGTCGTCCAGGTGTATCACAGTTGGAGGGGTTGTCTCGAACTCCACTCGCCGCCTTTTGGATGAATCTTCTTCTTCCTTAACACGGGGAGATTCTCCCGTCAGACGAGCAACACGAGTCGGGACCTCAGTTTAAGAAGTGGCCTCCGCAGGAATAACCACGGCCGCAGACTCAACTGAAGCAACCCTTGACGAAGACCGAGCGGTAGGTGCTGTCGTCGGGCGAGCAGACGATGTCGGCTGATGAAAAGCTAATCGGGGAGACCTCGCTCTCTGCACTCTTCGTGCCATCGACAAATAGCACGTAAAAAACTAAGAGAGAGGAAAAATAGCAAACAAAAACGACATCCCACCTGTAAGGGGCATGTGTCCAAATTTTTCATAAAAGGCCGACCATGTACGAACCCCCGCCGTATGGGGAAGGATGACGCTCACCTACTCGTGGATACCTTCGATAAATGAAGAAGGCAATTTCTCGGCTGCAGAGACATAACAGGGTTTAGTACTGTAACAGAAAACGGTCGGATATCTAGCCGATTGAAAACTTAAGAAACTTACGTGCGAAGTTCCACTTCTCAGGGAACCCCGTTGGATCCACTACAATGTGCTTGGTTCACTCATAGAAGTAATTCTTGTAGAAACGATGGTTAGCCATGTTGTTTATTTTCACCACCAGACTCTTCGACCCCCGAGGATGCATGTGAAGCATCGTGCCGCGAATGAGTTGATGGCGAAGATATTGAGCATGTGATCCAAAGTGATCTCACGACCGGCGAGTTCCGCAAACTTGAGCAACATAAGGAACAACTTGTACAGGTACGACGAAAGTTGGGTGGGGCATACCTCGTAATAACGGTAGAAATCTACCACCAGAAGAGGGAGAGGAAGTCAGTATCCGAGAAGAAAAGGGTAGGCGTAGAACACGCAGTACCCGGGACAGTCAAAATGAACTATGTCATTCCCTATCGCCGGTCGCATGTCAACATAATTGGGGATTCCCAACCTAGATTTCAACTCTGCAATGTTTTCTTCTTTCATAACAGAAGGGACAAGTTCAGGATCCACCCCGACGCGACCGCAGAAATTGTTCCATTCTTGCCTAGGAAGAGGCAAGATCTCGACTACTGATGAAACCTCTTCATCTTCCACCACTTCTACTCCTCCGGTGGCCAGAGCAACATTTTCCGGCACCGGAATTGTGAAAGGGAAATCAGTGCGAGAAGAATCACCAGCCATTTTATTAAGATGGTGTGGCAAAAAGACAATGGAAAGGAAGGATGAAAGTTTTCAGTCAAAATGGGGGCGAATGAAAATTCAGAGTATCAGGAAGAAAGTATATCCACAAAATTCTTCGAAGTACAAGGTAGAGAAATGTGTCAATCGAATGGTGTGTTCCTTCAATTTATAAGAGACATAAATCCTCCCAAGCACGAAACCCAAGAGTCACAATCGCATCTGATAGGGCACGAAACATTTCGGTTCCCCAGGAACGTGTGTCATTATGGTGGCAACCATGAATGAATGCTTTAACACCAAACGATGTTTCAGTTTCGAAACAGCCGCAACGGTCCAAGGATATCAAAAGAACGTCGTCATCTCACTTGAAACCTAAGAAGCATAACTAAGAAATGAGAAGTCAGATTTTTCTCTAATTTGTAGCACTCATGATCCGTCTGCCTGGCCCGACAGGGGACGACCCCGACAGATGGAGGGACTAGCTGTATTGGTCAAAATCTAACCACTACGGTCAAGCTAACCAACATCCCGTCCAAGAGACAGGGTATTGAAAGACGACATAGTCTATTCTACATCTAACACCCACGATATCCGTCGAGTCGGAAGAAATAACGTCCAGGGAACGACCAAGAAAGATAGTGCAAGAGAGAGAGTCAAACCAAGTAAATAGCAAAGGTCCCATGACTATATATATGAAGGGAAAACCTTCGGTTGAGGAGGCTTCTCCCTCTTTCCTAACCTCCCTCTCTTCTTACCTCCCTCTTCTGCAATCTTCTTAAAGAAAAAGAACAATTTAGCAATCTCAAAGAAAAGATGTAAAACAACCTCCCCATTGATTAATGGTTGTCACAACAAAAGTTCCAATAAGATTGGTTACATCTATTTCATCTTATGTACTATTTGTTCAATTAGCTCATTGATCTAGAATTTATTATGTTTAACTAAGATTTACCCCTTCATTTTTTTGATTGATTTATTCAAAAAGATTCCAATATCTTTTGAGTCAAACATTTCTCAAAGATCACATTGCAAGGTAAACAATTTCAAATCTTTAAGCTCATTAAAATCGTTCTTTTCGATCAATATAAAAAATTTATTTCCAAATATATCCGGTCTCGTTTTAATTAAACACCTGATCCATTGATCATCGATGTGCAAAAAGATATAATTTGCGTTTGACATATCCCAAATTTTATATATGATCGTTGAGACTAGATTACTGTTATTTATACAAAATTTTTACAAATTTTCTCATTAGTAATTTACATTTAGCGAATGCTTTTAAGTTTTACCCATTTATATATTTTAACGCAAGTTTTTAGGCAGCTTGGTGTGCTTTAGGCAGACAAGAAATCATGTTTCATATCATGGCAGGTCTAACGACAAAAAAGTAGTAAAACATTAAGCAAATAATAAATCATCAATTTAGATACCGTCAGAACTCTCTGTGACAATATTTTTATATAACAGTCATTCATTATAAAAGTCAAGTTTTTTTAGAACCGATCTTTTAAGTTATATTTTACCTCTCTATAACAGTTGTTTACCTATAACAACAACAACCATATTTATATCAGAACACTTTTTGTAAAATTATCGCTCTATAACAACTATATAGAATTTTTAAGATTACTAGTAATAATTCTAAAAATATGCACATAATATTTTTCCTTGAATAAAGTTTCTATCTTTCATAAGGCATAGGATTTGAAGATTTGCACATGATATATTTTTCATTAAAAGAACTCGACAAACTCTCAACAGCGACAAACTCTCTCTCCAAACGCTCACTGCCAACGGTAACATAAGACGATCTCAACAGCGACTAGGTCAGTCGCCGGCGACCACCCTCCCCCCAGGTAAGTCCCCTCGCCCCTCTCTCCTCCCCATCATCCAACACCCCTC